TCTCTGCTCAACAGGTCCTTGGCTGCTTCCAGAACATATCCTCCCCCACAGCCTCCCTGCTTTTGTTGATGCTTGGCCCTCTCCCTGGAATGCTTTTCCTGGCTCTGTGTGTCCAGTCCCTGCCTGGGCGTCAGGGCTGAGCTCCTCTGTGAAGGCTTTTGTAGATCCCCAGCCTCTGCCAGCCAGAAGCCCCTGGGTCAGCCCCTTCCTAGGGCTCTGGACACAGTCCACTGTGTTTGGAGATGTAAGTCTTTGGTCTCAGCTCCCAGCACACTGCCAGGCACACAGAGAGGCAGTTGAGTATAAGAGCCTGTGTACTCAAAGAGGAGAGGATGAGTGAGTGACTCCCAGAAGTGGGTGAGTGGAAGGATGGCGGGTGAACAGTAGCAGGGATGGAGCGGGTGATAAGGTGAGGGTGGAGGTATGGGGTGCCTCGTGTTGCAAGCTGGTGGCTCACTTCTTTCTCAGGAGACATGGCAGCTCTGCCTGTGGCATAGCTCAGGCTTAGTGCCCCTGGCACAGGGGTAAAAATCCTCCTCCCTCACCCCCATGTAGAGGCATTCAGCCCTTGCAATGGGGGTCGTCTGCTCTGCCAGCCTGTACCTTAGAGCCCAAGACAACCAGGGGTGTCAGGAAGGCCCTGCCCCAATGGCACTCCCTGTGGCGCAGTACCCAGGGAATCATCATGATGGCCTCAGGTCGTGATGCCATTACCTTAAGGCAAGCCCTCCCTCCCCCAGAGAAGCCAAGGTCTGAAGCCAGGGATGTGCTGGATGGCTGCATTTCTGCTCTAACGAGCCCCCACATCCATTCTGCAGCATCTGTGCCCCCATGACACAATGGTGGGGGGCTCCCTCCCTGCAGCCCTCCCAGCCCTACACAGCCTGTGGATGCAGCCCCTTCAAGCCATGCCCACCCCAAAGGCTATCTCCCATTCACTGGAGACTGCTCCTGGGACCCAAAGCGCTCCCCGTGGGCTGGGTCTACATCTGATCCATGTCTGTAACTCCTATGCTGGCTGCACCCTGAGCATCAGCTCCTCATCTGTCAGTGGGGACAGTAATACTTGCCCACTGGGCAGTGGAGAGGATAAGACACCACATTTGTGACAGCAGCAGCCCCACAGAGCCGAGCACACAGTAGGTGCTGAACTGATGGTCGCTCCCATCCCTCTCTCTGTGCCCCTGTTGTCCCCATCTGTGGAGTTGTTGGTTAGGAAGGACCACAGGGACCTTGGCAGGCAGCTGCAGGCAGAGCCCATAGACCCTCAGGACCCCTGGCATTTCTGGTCCTGATGGGGCATGGCTCTGGCTCTGCCAGGGGTGCCTATAGCATCCTCATCCCAGACCAATCCTGATGGGGCAGTGCCCTGTCATCTGCTGCTATCACTGCTTCCATCTGGAGGCACGGGCCACTCCCATCAGGGCATCCTGGCCAGCTGCTTATTATACCCCAGCCTACAGCTCAGCTCTGGGAAGTTCCACAGGGCGGGGAGCAGGACAAGGCTGGGCCAACATACATGGGCACAGCACAGGCATCAGTGCACACGCATGGTATTGGGGTACCTTGCCCAACACTGAGGTGGGGGGGGTGCGTGGACTGCATGCCCAGAAACCCCCAGATCATGCTTCTGTCCCACCCTTTGCCCCATGATTGAGACACCAGCCCTGCCCTCAAGGACTCTCAAACTCTCAGCCTGGAGCTGGGGGAGAAAGCCATAGCTGTGCAGGGAAGCCCACCCCACAAGCCCATGGATGTTGCAGAGGAGGGGTGGGGAAGGGTAGGGAAGGCTTCTCAGAGGGAGTGCTTAAGCAACAGGAGTAGATATTCGCTAAATGACCAAATGAAGGAAAGGCATTCCAGGCCTAGGGAACGGCTGAAGCAAAGGCCTGAGGGCGTGGAAATTTCTGACAGGTTCAGAAACAGTCTCACTCCTGCAGATAACATGTGGAGCATCTGCATGGGAGAGGCAGTTGAGTCCATGTCGGAAGAACCAAGTTCAGATCCTGTGTTTGAAAAACATGAATTAGATTGTCAGAGAGTTGGAAGGGAAGGAGTCCCAGGAGGGGGACAGTCTGAACAAGCTGGGGGTAGGAGCAACTGTGCTGAGTGGAGAGTTGGCCGAGGCAGGAATGCACAGACCTCAAGGAGAAGACAGTTGTGTGGATTGTGGTCCACCATCCAGCACTCTCCCACAGCTGGGAAAAACACGCAGCCCAGAGGATTTTTTGCCCTCTGCTGCAGATACCTCCCGCCCTGCATCAGAGGTGAACAAAGGGACCAGCTGGATGCCCAGAGGAAGCCCCACTCTCCAGCCTGGGTTCCCCCATCTCACGTTGGGGTGAACTTGGCACAAAGCCATTGCAGGCGAGCAAGAGGGGTGGCTTGTGGCCTATTTACTGCCCAAAGAGGATTTCCTTCTGGTTTGGATGCATGGAAAAAGCACATCTGGAAGTAGGAATCGGAACAGTGTCTAAAACCCAGCTGTGGGCGGCTCGCCTTGGACCGGCCCCAGCAGGGCACGGCCCGGATTTGTGGCTGGGCTTCCATGGAACAGGCATGGAGGGAGCTCTCCCGGGACCATTGTCTCTCGTGACTGTCTGAGCAGCTCTGCCTGGCCTGTGCCCTGGATGGGGCCTCGGTGCCCCTCATCTAGAACTGCTACCGCTGCCATCTTCCTGTCTCCCCCCAAGTCCCCACTTGTCCCCTGCAGCCAGAGGGGTCTTCCTACAGCACATATCTGACCCTGTCCCTTCCCTTCTTTAGGGGAAAGGTCTCCACTGTCCCCAAGGTGGAGTCCAGGCTCTCTGGCCTGGCATCTGAGTCCCTGCTATCTGGCCTCTGACCTCCCTGCAGGCTCCTTGCCCAGTAGAGCCCAGCCCACCCCCAGCGTGATGAACACATCAACCACTCAGGGACCTTCACAGGGATCTGTGCCCTTTTCATGCTTTGGTGCCTCTGAGCCTGCCCTTCCTTGGCCTTCAGTGTGCATCACCCCACTATCTTCTTTGGATCTGTTTGTCATGGTTCAGGGCTCAGGCAGGCCAGAGACTGAATGAAGTGAATACATCAATGTTGGTATAGTTGCCTGCCTGTGTCTTCACACTGCTACATGTCTCTCTAAGCTCGCTACAGTCATCAAGCCCTGGGAAGCATGTTGGGGCCCCCAGGCTGCCTCAGGCATCTCCTCTGTGCTGCCATAGCCCCGGTGTTTCCCTCCGAGACAGTTCAATCGCGTTGCTTTATGGGGGTGTGCGGGTGTGCATCTCCCACATGGGCTCTGTACTCCTAGAGGGCAGGACCCGTGTCTGAGTTCTCTCTGCATTGTGGCACTCAGCACAGACTGGAGCCAATCTGTCAATCTTTCCCAATGAAGAGCCTCACAACAGAAATTACACAATGTGCTGAACAGCCTTGAGCCAAGGCCATGAAAATCAGCCAGTCGGATCACAGGGTCTGAAATGAGCTCAAGTTCTCTCCAGGCACCAGCTCCTCCCCCTACTCCCCAGATGAGCCCCAGAGAAATGGTATAAAGAGCAGGCTTTGGGAGTGCCAGTCCTTGGGAACACGGCTGCTCCCAGCTCATCCTGGGCCACCTGCCGCTGGGAGCCCACACTGGCCCCTGGTTCAGAGTGGGGGGGCCCATGGGCTCTAATCTGGGTTAGGTGCTCATGGTTGGCCGTTCAGCCCTGGACCTGGGGGATGAAATCATTGGCTCATGAGACAGGGCCAGCCTCCTCCGGTCCCTTCCTTCTCAAGGGTCACCTGCCCTAGGAAGGCTGAGGGCATAGCAGAGCTACCTGGCCTTTGGCATCAGACTTGACCTGAGTCCTGTCATTGCCACGTCACAGCCCTGTGACCTTGGGCAGGTCACTTGACCACATGAAGCCTCCACCTCTGAGATGGGGACATTGATGCCCTATACTTCACAGCTGTTGTGTGTCCAACACCCAGTGCCACACCTGGATGTAGAAGGCGCCTGTCAGCATGGGTCCCCTCCTCCCACCCATGTGGACTCATGGCCAGAACATCAGCCTGGCTGGGACAGGGACAAATGGGAAGAAACCGGAGGGAGGAGCTTGTCACACTGAAGGACCAGAGGCTGCTGCCTTAACTGGGCAGGTTTTGAGCTGGATTTTGAAGGCTGAGGGAGGTTGGTGGATGGCTGTGAGGGCTGAGGGAGGTTGCTGGGTGGCTGTGAGGGCTGAGGGAGGTTGCTGGGTGGCTGTGAAAGAGGGGACACTCTTTGCTGAGCGACTTGAATGAAGAAAGGCTGGAAATTCTCTGGCCAACTCCTGCTATTGGTCTAGGGCATGGGGTGGGCCTAGGGAGAGGTGTGTAGGCTGTATTTGATCACAGAACCACAGGATTTATGAAGGGCCCTTCAGTGTACAAATGTGGCTCTTGTTCTGACAGCAGTTAGCCTTGACTCTGTGCTCCAGATGTACAAACCCTGCGCCATTCAGTGTCCTACCCCCTGGGGCCCTCAGCCTTGAGTGGCCTTGAGTGGCGGCCACCCTGTCTCAAGCTTGAAAACAAGGAAACAAAGCACAGAAGGGTCAAGAGCACTGCCTAATGCCTCTCCAGGGTCGAGCCCAATTTGGACCCAGTCTGTGGGTCCGTCCACATCTCAGGCTGTCTGTGCCAGGACACCTGCCTCAGAGTCCTAATTCAGGCTATGCTGTTGCCAGGGCAGCTCGGCACTTCCGATGACCCTGGGGAGGGGAGCCTTTCAGGTCCGGAACTGGAAAGGCCACCTTCTTCTCCAGCCCTCGTGCCCCACTTCTAAGTCACGGTGCTATTTTTCTGGACTCACCAGGCCTTTCCAGATAAGGCCTGAGCCCTGAGCACTTTGTGGCAGCTGATCTGGAGCTCCCAAAGGCTCGGGCAGGATGGGAGGGGCAGGGGTGCTGGGGTCAGGCGGGTCTGGGGAGCAAATTTCCATGCAGGGGTAGGGTGCCCACTGGGCTGGGAGTGCCCCTCACCAGCCTCTCCTGCAGTTTGAAGGCTGCAGCAAGGCCTTCTCACGGCTGGAGAACCTCAAGATCCACCTGAGGAGCCACACGGGCGAGAAACCATACCTGTGCCAGCACCCGGGCTGCCAGAAGGCCTTCAGCAACTCCAGCGACCGCGCCAAGCACCAGCGAACCCACCTAGACACGGTAGGCCCAGCAGGCGGAGGCCCAGGGCGGGGTGGAGGACGGCCACACACTTGCCACTCATTCAGCGCAGAGCCCCTGCCTTGCCCTTTAGCCCCACTGATATTCAGGGCAGAACGATGGCTTGGCAGGGAGGTGGGTCGGATGGCGTCCTCTGCATTCTAGGATGTTTAGCCATATCCCCGGCCTCTCTCCACCAGAAAGGAGCCGATGTTCCCACTCCCAATGGCAACAGTCAAAACTCTCTGATGCCAAATATCCCTGGGGGTGAGGGGAGGCAAACCTGCCCCAGTTGAGGAGCATTGCTTTGGCCCATGGGTACCAGCCTGGGCTCCAGAGCCATGAATAGCCTCATGTTGAGAGTGCACTCGCCCTCCTGCGTCCCCTCCCTGGGACCTGTCAGCCACGCCCGGAGCAGACTGCTCCCTGCTCTTCCTGTCCCCTCCACAGACACACACCAGAGGCTCTCCAGGGCGGTCCTTTGTCCCTTGAGCCCTGCAGGTGAGGAGCTGAGGTGGGCAGTGCCTAAGACTCCAGGCTCCTGCAGGTGACTCGGGCCTCCAGATGCTGGCTCCCTTCCTACCTCCCTGCCCTTGTTTGTGCCAGGCAGTAGATAACAGCAGCTTTATTCCAGTGTCTGCCCAGGCAGCTCCCCATGTGCCATTAATAGAGCACTTCCTAAAACTTCACCCCCCCAGGATATCGTACCGACCCCTCGCACTGAGCAGGGACAGTCACTAAGCCATTTGGCAGATGAGGGAAGCGGGCCTCCTGAGGCCAGTGCCTGCTCACCATCACACAGCTGGACAGTGGCACAGCTGACTCAGACCCAGGCCTCACACTGGGCCCTGGGTGAGGGGCACGTGCCCCAGGAGGACCCCAGCCCCCATGTGCAGCAGGAGACTGGGGTGTGCAGCAGAGCCACGCCCAGGCCCAGGCCAGCTTCTCTACGCTTCCTGCAGGTGTTTGGGGAACTCCATGAGTGAGGGGCTGGGAGATTTGCATGGCCACCCCTCTGCCTGTCCAGTTCACAAATGAGGAGGAAACGGGCCCAGGAGGGCAGCTAGCCCCTCCAGGGTAAATTGGATGTGAAACAGCAGAGGTCAAACCTGAAAGGGCACTTGTAGGCCTCTGATTCCAGCCATTTACCTTAGAGCTGGGAAAACCAAGACCCAGAAAAGATTCAGGGCACAGAAAACAGCAGGGAAGCAATGTTCTTGGGGCCAGGCCGGGCCCCGGGCAGGACACCCTGCACATCCGGCCCCACAGTCACACACACTGCCCCCAGTTTATCCTGGTGATCAGCCAGGGTGGGGCTGTTATCCCCATTTCATACATTGAGACTTAGAGAGACTGAGCCATCTGCCCTGTCCACAGCAGGTGAGTGGCAGAGCTGGGACGCAAACTCGGGCTGTGCCACTCCCAGTCCACTGCCCTCTCTTGGAAAAGCTGGTGTGGCAGCCATCCTGCGGGGTGCAGCCAGCACAGGGGTGAGGGAGGCAAGGAAGGGCCCCATCCCCAACCTGAACCCAATTCTCCTCCCCTTCTCAGCTTCATTGTCACATGCTGCAGACATGAAGTGAGGAGCAGCACTAGCAAATCTCCCTGCCTTTGTCACCTTTTCAGCCCGAGGGGCCTGTGGCACCCTGGCCCAGGCCCTAAGAGGCACACTCTGTGCCCCAGCACCCACAGTTATGCCTCCCAGAGGCCACAAGCCAGCACCAACAGTGCCAGGCCTCCCTACACCCTCTCCCTACCCTCCCAGGCCCTCTTCCATGTCCCTCCTTCTTCCTCCCACCCTCCTTACTGCATTTCCTGGACCCAGCCCCAAAGCAACAGGCCTTTGACCCCACTTGGTGTGTGAACAGAGTCCCAAGGCCTAGGTCAGGTCAGGTCCAGAATGAGCCCGCAGGCTGATCTCAGGCCTTCGTCTCCCCAGGGGGTCCCAGGGAGGCTTGGGAGGCACAGCGCCAAACCTAGCACCCCGCTTAGATCCAGCTCCCCACAGAAACACTGCAGGCAGCTCCGTGTTGCTAGCTTTCAGTCCCAACACCGTCCCCAGAGGCCCCTTGAGTCAGGCCCCTCACACGGCAGGGCCTTGCTTTCCAGAGGGGACCAGCCATGTCCCCAGTCCCCTCTGGCATTGGAGAATGTGGGATTCTCTCTATGGGTGGGAAGGTTTTTTGGAACAGACTGGAGAGGCCCAGGCCACGGTTCTGATCGTGGCCCTGCCTCCTGGTCCTGGAGGTCTGAGGAAACCCCCTGGCCTCCCTGGGCTTCCTCAGAGGTAAAACCCCTGCCTCAGAGAGAGGGAGGCTCAGTTGAGGGAGCAGGTATGAGGCCTGCACACAGACTAGGCAGCCTTCCCCTGCCTGTCATCTTACTCAGTGCTGACCATATCCTGCCATGTCCCAGGCTGTCAGTGTGGGGCTGGAATCCTGACTGCACAGACTCCCTGAGCAGGCTTGAATAAGCCACTGTCTTGCACGGGGCCTCAGCTTCCCCCTGGCATGATTCTCTCTCCCCTTGCCCACTTCACTGGACCATTCGAGGCTGCCGAGTAGAAGAAGCATTCTAGCAGAGGCCTGCACATGCTCCCTCCCTTTCCTCACTGTGGGATCTTGGGCAAAATAAGGGCCTCAGTTTCTTCTTCTACAAAGCAGGATGAGTCTCATAAAGTGGGTTTGGGGCTCAGGCAGAGGGTGGATGGCCAGTGCTCAGCATGGACCCTCACAGGGGAGCACTCCCGGCAGAGCTGCCCCCAAGTGCAGACTGGCAGGGGCAGGCAGGGGCTCTGCACAGCATACATGGAGCGTCCTCATCATGGACACAGGGAGGCCGCTGGTGCTGCAGCCCATATGGCGATTCCAGGCAGGGCGTGGCTGCTGGCTGGGCACGGCCACAGGGTTTCCTGAGGGCTCACAGGGCGCAGGGCCTGAGGAATGTTCTACACACGTCAGGCCCTGGAAAAACAAACACGGAGATGGGTCTTGCCGCCCACTTCCAGGAGAATGCACTGCAGACACAGAGCCAGCTTGTTTGCTTTTAGACGAAAGCGAGTGGATTTGTATCAGCATCCCCAAGGGACAGTCCTGGGGCCGGCTCAGGGGCAGGGTGGGGCCCTGTGCACGTGCAAATGCACGTGTGTGTGTGCATGTGTGTGTGTGTGTATAGTGTATGTGTGTGATGTGTGTGTGGTGTGTGTGTGCGGTGTATGTGTGGTGTGTTTGTAGTGTATATGTGTGTGGTATGTGGTGGGGTGTGTGTGGTGTATATGTGTGGGGTATGTGTAGTGTGGTGTGTGTGGTATGGTGTCTGTGTGGTGTGTGTGTGTAGTGTTTGTGTATGTGGTGTGTGATTGTGTGTGTAGTGTATGTGTGTGTGGTGTGTGTGGTGTATGTGTGGTGGTGATTGTGTATATGTGTTTGGTGTGTGTGTAGCCTATGGTGTGTGTGCATAGTGTATGTGTGGTGTGTGTATAGTGTGTGTGTGGTGTGTGTATAGTGTGTGTGTGTTGTGTGTGTGTGTAATGTATGTGTGTGGGGTGTGTGTGGTGTATGTGTATGTGTGGTGTGTGTGGTGTGTGTGTAGTGTATGTGTGTGTTGTGTGTGTGGTATATGTGTGTGTGGTGTGTGTGTGGTGTATTTGTATGTGTGGTGTGTGTGGTGTATGTGTGTGTGTTGTGTGTGGGGGGTATGTGTGTGGTGTATGTGTGTGGGGTGTGTGTGGTGTATGTGTATGTGTGGTGTGTTAGTGTATGTGTGTAGTGTTTGTGTTGTGTGTAGTGTATGTATGTGGTGTGTGTGTAGTGTATGTGTGTTTGGGGTGTATGTGTGGCGTGTGTGGTGTATGTGTGGGGGGTGTGTGTGGTGTGTGTAGTGTATGTGTGTGGGTTGTGTGTGTACGTGTGTGTGGGGTGTGTAGTGTATGTGTGTGGGGTGTGTGTATGTAGTGTATGTGTGTGGGGTGTGTGTAGTGCATGTGTGTGGTGTGTGTGTATGTGTGGTCTGTGGGTAGTGTATGTGTGTGGTGTATGTGTAGTGTATGTGTGGTGTGTGGGTAGTGTATGTGTGTGGTGTGTGTGTAGTACATGTGTGGTGTGTGTAATGCATGTGTTTCGTGTGTGTAGTGTACGTGTGATGTGTATATGTGGTGTGTGTGTAGTGTATGTGTGGTGTGTGCAGGGTGTGTGTAATGTGTGTTGTGTGTGTAATGTGGTATGTGTGGGGTGTGTGTGTAGTGTATGTGTGTGGGGTGTGTGTAGTGTATGTGTGTGGGGTGTGTGTAGTGTATGTGTGGTGTGTGCAGGGGGTGTGTAATGTGTGTGGTGTGTGTATAATGTGGTGTGTGTAGTGTATGTGTGTGGGGAGTGTGTAGTATATGTGTATGTGTGGTGTGTGTAGTATGTGTGTGGTGTGTGTAGTGCATGTGTGTGTGGTGTGTGTGTAGTGTATGTGTGGTGTGTGTAGTATAGTATATGTGTGTGGGGTGTGTGTGTATGTAGTGTATGTGTGGTGGTGGTGGGGTGTGTGTGTGTGGGGGTGTGTGTAGTGTATGTGTGTGGGGTGTGTGTGTAGTACATGTGTGTGGTGTGTGTGTAGTGTCTGTGGGGTGTGTGTATGTATAGTATATGTGTGTGGGGTGTGTGTGTATGTAGTGTATGTGGTGGTGGTGGGGTGTGTGGGGGGGGTGTGTGTAGTGTATGTGTGTGGGGTGTGTGTGTAGTACATGTGTGTGGTGTGTGTGTGTAGTGTCTGGGGTGTGTGTAAGTATAGTATATGTGTGTGGGGTGTGTGTGTATGTAGTGTATGTGTGGTGCTGGTGGGGTGTGTGTGTGTGTGGTGTGTGAGAGGGAGCCTGCCTCTGGGGTTGAGGGGCCTGGGGGCAGCAGGGGCCGACCGTCTGCGGCAGGCCTTCGCTCTCCCTCCCAGGCCAACCCGGCAAGCTTCTCACTGCTGTCTCTCTCTTTTTGCTCTCCTCCGTTTCTTTAATCTGGCAACTCTCCATGGCAGCACCAAGGTATGGTCGTCTCTTTCTGCTTCCCCTCCTCATGAGGTCCCAGGGCCATGGGCACCTCTCCCTGGGTTTGAGGTTGGCTCGGCCTCTCCTCAGTCCAGCAGAGGCAGAGCTGCCTTGAGGTTCTGGGGGCAGTTCCCCCTGCGTGTGTCTGGCAGGACACAGCAGTCCCTGGTACTCACTCTGAGGTGTCATTTCCTCCAGTCCTGCTCCTGTCCCATGCAGTCCCAGCAGGGCAGAGGCTCCCGAGAGAGCAGATGAACTAGATGTGTCCACAAAAGGAAGCCTCGTGAGCTTCAAGCCCCAGCAGCAGCCAGAGTCCTCGAGCAGGGTCTTATGGAAACCTTGGGAGAGATTGGGATTCAGTTAGAGCCACATGTCGCTGCCCTGGGTCGCTCAGACCTGGAATGAATCAGACAGGTCCCTCCCTGGCTGAGAAGAGGGACACTGAGCAAGCCCAGCACATAGGGTGGACATTGCTGCAGGGGGACACTCTGCCCAGGGAGGGGGTGGAGGATTCAGGAGGCCTTGGAGAGGAGGTGGCATGGCTGCACGAGAGCTGAGGAGGTTCCCGTTGAGGGAGGCGTAGGGCCTTCGGTGCTGGGAGATGGCCTATAGAGCACCGGGGGGCACTGAGAGGTTTCACAGTCTAGCGCGGGTCTGTGCTAAAGACCTTCCCCGCTGGCTGTGAGTGCACAGGAGGCTGAGGCCTGGAGGGCAGGGTGGGGCCTGGGCAGGAGTTCAGGAGGGGCAATGGGGATGGATTTGGAGTCCACTTCTTATATTCTGGGTGAGCCATGGGGGCCCAAGGGGAAGCAACTTGTCCACTCCCATGCACAGGGCACGGCCCCCATCCTCCACAGCCACCTCACCCTCCCTAGCCCTGTGTTCTCTGAGACCCAGCCATGCTTCCAGCCTCTCACAGCTGCTGGCAGGAGGACCTGGGTTTCTTGTGGCCCCACGAGCTGTCCGGGGCCTCTGCACCTACCTGCAGGGTGCGGCCAGTGCCCCCAGCCTGGCCCCATGTGGGTGCCCCTCCTTCCTATCTGCAGAGCAGCCGTCTAACTGCACTCCCTATCTGCTCACTGCTTACTTGCAGCTGTTGGGTTGAAAGGGTGGACTTGGCTCAGAGCCAGGATCTGACCTGAAAGAACCCTTAGACCTCAGATGGCCCCATTTTCAGAGGAGACAGGTGAAACTCAGAGAGGAGAGGCAACTGGCCTGAGGCCCCAGGATGGTGGTGGGATGAACACACAAACCCCTGCTCCACTCCGAGGCCAGGCGCCGTCCCCACAGCTGGGCAGGGCTGGCTGAGGCAGAGCACTCCTGGCCTGCAGCCAGCCCCTCGGCTGGTCACCTCTCCACAGCAGGTCACACAAAGGCCCATGGCTCGAAGGGCTGGACCTCACTCACCCCACCCCCACCCCCCATGTTACAGAAGCCGTATGCCTGTCAGATCCCTGGCTGCTCCAAGCGCTACACGGACCCCAGCTCCCTCCGCAAGCACGTCAAGGCCCATTCAGCCAAAGAGCAGCAGGTGCGTAAGAAGGTAAGCCAGCCCTCCTCATCTGGCCGCCTCCAGCCTCGGAGCCACCTGCACCACAACAGGCCAGGCACCGCCCACCCACTCACCGTGAATGCCACTGTTCGTCCGTTAGTCCATCCATCTGTCCATCCACTTCCTACCTGCCCTGAGTGTCTCTGCTGACCCACAGCCCTTCCTTCTGCACCCCAGCCAGCCCTTTACCATCCACGATTGCCCACCAGCTCCTCGCCCCATGCATCCGCCCACCCCCCACAGCTTGGGTGGAAAACACACAACGTCCAGTCCTGTGCTGGGCACGGAAGATACAGAAATGAAAATATACAGCCCCACTTTCGATGGCCTGGCAGGCGGAGGTAGACACAAAGAGATGATTCCACCTCATGTCATTAAGGTGGCAAGAGGGGTGTGCAGAGAAAAGTCAGGGCACAGATGAGGGGTCTTAGTCCCTCTGGGTGTGAGCAGGAAGGTTCATGGAGGAAGTGGTATCGCGCCCGGGTAGAACGTTTAGGGGTGGGAGTGGAAAGGTCCGTGGAGGAAGTGGCATCAGGCCTGGGTGGAGTGTTTAGGGGTGGGAGTGGGAAGGTCTGTGGAGGAAGTGTGTCAGGCCTGGGTGCAGTGTTTAGGGGTGGCAGCGCGGAGTGGGCCTGCCGGCCTCGTCTCCACTGGCTCTGCACCCAGGCACATGCCTTTGGGCTTCAGATTCCTCAACCATCAGAGGGGACAGCAAAGGACTTGCGTTTAGACAGCTGCAGTCAGGAGTAAATGATGGTTTATGCTGAGAGTTTAGAACTGTACCTGGCACAAATTTAAAAGCTCAAAACAGACTTGGCACATATGTTCATTAGTCTGAGGAAGGACTAAGTGTTGGGTTGGTGAATTATCTGAGCGCTCCCCGCAGTGACTGGTGTGGAGCAAGGCCTGAAGCCTGAAGCCCACCGTTTGCAGGATCAGCAGGCACTCCACTCTCGGGCCAAGCAGCACAGTGATGAGAGGTGGCATGGACAGGGCTACATCCAGGACACAGTGGGTGCCTGTGTCCTGGAGAGATCTTAAGCAGAGCAGGGACATGGCACCTTGAGAGGTGACCCTGAGGGCCATGTAGAACATGTGTTGGGGACTCCCATGGAACTCTGGAGTCAGGGAGTGAGGGTTCTTGAGTGCTAGGGAGGGTATGGGGGTGAAAGACACCAGGGGCCAACTCGGGGACACTAGCATGACAGAGGAGGACAGAGTGGGAAGAGCCCATTCATTGGTTCACCCAGATTTACAGAGCACCCACTGTATTCTAAGCCTTGTTCTATGAACTGCAGACACGGCTGTGAATGAAACAGAGCAGAGGCCCACAAGGAGGAAGCAGCTGCCTCACGCCCTGGGACAGGGAGACAGTGATGGGGTGCTGGGAGCAAGCCAGTCTCAGTGGGAATGAGGATGGGAGGGGACCACCAGACTTGGGAAGCTGGTCTCCAGCCTTCAGGCAGTGGGGAGCGTTAGAAGCTGTAGAGCAGAGAGGGATGGGGTCAGAGCCTGCGCCATCAGCTTTCTGGTGAAATACTCCTCCATATTCACTGAGGAGGGAGAGGCTACACTTTAGCCCAGGTGACTCTGCTGCTCCGGCACGTACCTGGGGCTTCCGATCCTGTATGTCATTTAGGCCTCACTGTAACCCTAGCTCCCCAGCTCCTCAGGAGGCTGAGGTGGGAGGATCACTTGAGCCCAGGAGTTGGAGCTGCAGTGAGCTGTGATTGCACCACTGCACACTAGCCTGAGCGACCGAGCAAGACCCTGTCTCAAAAACAAACCAACCAACCACAGCCATAGGTGTGGGCACTGTTTTTTTTCCCCCTCATTTTATTTTTAGAAACAAAGTCTCACTTTCACCCAGGCTGGCGTGCAGTGGAATGATCATGGCTCCTGACAGCCTTTAACTCTTGGGCTCAAGTGATCCTCCTGCCTCAGCCTCCTGAGGAGCTAGGACTGCAGGCATGCTCTACTGCTCCTGGCTTGGCTTTTTTTTTTTTTTAGTATTTTTTTTTGTAGAGACAGAGGTTTCACTTTGTTGTCCAGGCTGGTTTTGAACTCTTGACTTCAAGTAATCCTCCCATCCTGGCCTCCCAAAGTGTGGGGGCTAGAGTCATGAGCCCCTCATTTTAGAGATGGAGAAACTACGGGTCAGAGTTAACAAACCTGCCCAGCATCATGCACTGCAGAAGCACCAGAGCTGGGGTCCCATCCCAGACCTGTCTGTTCCAGGGCCTGAGCTCGGTTCACTGCTCTCAGGTTGAGGGCCTGACCAGGGACAGGGAATGGCCCAGGCTCCAGGAGACTGGAGTGCCACACCAGGGAGGCTTCTGTCCCAAGCGGACCAATGCCCGAGGACTAGAATCCTGCCCTGGCTTTCCCAGGCCCCACGCTTGGCTCTCACTGAGCCCCCGGGGACGTGGGGCCCCAGATCTGCAAACTTCCCAACAATAAGCATCCATTAAGAGCCATCAGGGATGATGTATCTTTCTGGGTAAAGCGACCCTTGTATTATGACAAGTCCTTGGCAGCCCTGCTGCATTTCAGAGAGAATTAGAAATGCTTTTCTTCCTTAATTCTCCTCTCCTGCTGCTCCTAATCCGATAGACATTGCGGTCTACAAGAACATGCCTTGGCTCTCTTTTGCCAGAAACTTAATTTACATGGAAAACAGCTGCTGGGTCAGGGAGCTAAGAGCCTATCTCGAGGCTGGGCATGCCTTCTCCAAGTCTGGGCCCTGGCCCTTCTGTCCTGGGAGGGCAGAAAAGCCCTAAGGGCTGACTCTCAGCTGCTGTGTGATGTGGGGCAGGGCTCTCGGCTTCTCTGGGTCTGTTTTGTCCTGGGGAAGATGAGCATTTGGATGAGCCAAGCTTCAGGATTTCCCTGAGAGAAGGGGCCCTTCCCATCCAGGTACCTGCCCCATTCATCACTCAGTGTCCTGAAGGCCTCACCCTGTCCCCATTCTGGCTCTGGAAGGCATTCTGAGGTGACTGTCTTTGGGAACAGCCAAGGGTTGTTGGCCAAAGATTTGCTTGAGTTCCTGGGTACACCCCTGCCCAGGCTTGCCCTTAGCCGAGGGACCTCAAGTCCATACACTGATCCATCATGCCCACAATGGGGTGACCAGATGGGGCCCAGCCAGCCCTACCACCGCACTTCCAAAGCACATCCCCAGCCATCGTCTCATTCCCCCTCACAGCAGCCCAGGGGGAGGCGTGACTTGCTGCTTATTACAGACTGGGTAGGCAAGACCCAGAGAGGTTAAGCTATTTGTCCAGCATTACACAAGGAGTAAGAAGAGGTGGATGGGATCTGAGCCCAGCTCTTCATCCCTAGTCCCGAACCATTTCCACTGAATCTTGTACCAAGAAGGAAGAACAAAAGAGCTGGGTCAGGTGGGGTGCACTAACTGCACACCTGCTGACTGCACACCTACTGCGCTTCACCCCTACCATGTCCGTTCACCCGTGCTGCACAGAATGCTCCTGCAGACCGCGCTACCCATGCGAGGCCCCACTGCTGCCCTTTGCCACCCATTCTGTGGGTGTGCGGAGGCCACACCTCCCACAGGCTCTCCCAGCAGTGACTGAGTATGGCAGGCCCAGCAGGGACACTGAGGCAGAGGCTTTCTGAGAGACATTGGACTCCCTGACATCCAACAGCCATTGGCTGCTGAGGATCCCCTGAGTCCCTGTCCCAGACGCTCCTGCCTGGCCCCTTCTTCTTCCCTCCCCCCTGCTTTCCTGCCTCCCTTGGTCCCAGGACTCTCCCAGCAATCTCCCTGTTTCCTCTCACACAGGCACATCTCCCATTTAGACCCTTGCACATTCAATTCCATCTTGGCATCTGCTTCTTGAAGGACCAGGACTAACACCTTCTTCACAATGTACACAGTCAGCCCATTTCACAGATGGGGAACTGAGGCACAGTGACGGGAAGGATCTTGCCCTGGGGCTGCAGTCCCTCCTGCCCTGTCCCCTAAAGGGAGGGTTACTGGTGGGCAGGGGCCTCACGTAACACACACCTCCTTTCCCTCTGCTTGCTCCCCAGCTGCACGTGGGCCCTGACACCGAGGCCGACGTCCTGACAGAGTGTCTGGCCCTGCAGCAGCTCCACGCGTCCACACAGCTGGCTGCCAGCGACGGCAAGGGTGGCTGTAGCCTGGGCCAGGAGCTGCTCCCAGGTATGTGTGCTGGGAGGCAGGGCCAGGGCATAGCCTGGGAGGGGCCTTTCTTTGCCGACAGTCCCTGTAGCACAAGTGACACTCAGTGGGCCGCCCACATAGGAACGACTTTTGCAGGTGCCCACTTGTCTGGACTTGGTTGTCTGTGCCTCTGGCTCTCTACTTCCAATCCATCTTCTCCCTCTAACTAGGCAGATGTTCCTTCACATTCCTCTGTGGCTCCCCATTGCTCAGGACATGAAGCCCTCAACCCTCTCAGCCCGGCATCCAAGGTTCGTGGGGCCTGGATCCTCCTGGCAGCCTCTTGCCTCCCCTTGGCATGTTGGAGGCGGTTCCCTGAACACTCTTTGCTCCTGCTTCCTCCACACTGGGCACTGTCCACACCCTGCCAGTCCTCTTCTCCCTCCCTTCATGAAGGTAGCTCCTGTCCTTCCTTCAGGACCCACCTCCGTGCCCCCTCCTCCAGGAAGTCTTCCTCTGGGCTTTGCTCTGCCCCAGTGCTGAGCACTCTGGGTGTTGCTCTGCTTCCCATCTATCTCCCCCACCAGACTGTGAGCTCCTCAAAGGAGGTCCAGGGTCTGCCTGATTCTGGGGTCACCAGCACCCAGGATGGGGACATGTGCAGAGCTGGACTGGGGGAACCCATGGCATTCATTGCCCCAAGCATCATGAAGAGAGGCTCTGGTGCCCTTCCTGATGGCCCATGCTGCTGGGATCATCTGCAGGGAGGAACCACCTTCAAGAAGAGCCCATTCTGCCCCTGGCCTTGACTCCTGCTCCAGAGGAGAAAACCCAGGCTCTGAGAGGATAGGAATTTAGCCCAGATCACTTCCAGCTCATCACTAAACTCTGTGGCTCAGAGATGGGGCCCCCAGAGCCCCTGGGACTCTGCAGGCCCCTCCAGCCAGACACTAAGGGCCTCTGGTCCAGCTGAGGTGGCCTGTCTGTCCCCCCCCCACACACACAGCAGCCGTGGGCCACAGGGCAGGTCCCAGGCCACAGCAGGTATTCCTGGCTTTGTGGCTCGGGCATCCAGCCCAGATAAGGGCAGTGTGGCCTTTAGATTTCAGCTGACAGTCCTTGCGCTCTACCCCCAGCTCCCCTAAAGAAACCACAATATCAGAGCAGAAAGCTCTGCCCACCCTCTGGGAGTTCTTGAATTACTCCAATCATTTTAAATATTTTTTATTTTCAATTTTTTATTATTTCCCCTCAATGTTGAAGTAGCAACAGATTTAAAAATATATCAAACACTTGCCAAACAGCCTCAGGAAGAAAAGCTTTTCAGCCTTTCTCATGGGTCGCCCTTCCCAGGGGTCTGTGCTTAGGCAGGCCCACGAGGGTGAGGACACAGGCGGATGGGTGCCTAGGGGAGGGTCTGTATACTCCTCACATGCAGCTGGAGGAACCCTTTGTGTGGCTGCTTTTCTCGAGGTCAGAATTGCTAAAATGACAGGGCTGGAAGGGACCAGGGGGCTGATCCAGCCCTGGGAGAAGGTATCTCAAGTGGCAGCTCCCAACAGCTGGTCATGGCAGTGACCTCTTGGAGTTCTGTGTTAAGAAAAATAAAATAAAATAAGGCCTCAGAAGCTGCTTCCTGAATCAGCCGGAAAGAGAGCTGCTCCCGAGGAGCAGTGCTGCCCCAGGGCAAAGCTCTTGTACCTACCCCATCATTTACCCAGGGAAGACTCAGGCCTGGGCAGGAGAAGAAATCACCTAAGGTCATCCAGAGAAGTCAGCAGCCAGTCCGGACTGCAAGCCTGTTCTCCCAGTTGCCAGCCTTGGGCTTGTCCCAGCAAGAATGGACAGGGCCAGCAGTCACCATCTTTGAGCACCTGCCTGGGCCACTCACTTCACAAATATCCTCTCATTCAGTCCCCAACTATGCTGTGGAGTAGTGTGAAACCCATGCTGCAGATGAGAAACAGAATCAGCTGAGGTCTCATCATCACAGATTGGAGGAGCCACTCCTGCTGAAGCTGCTGCCCTTGCTCTGGGACAATAAGTGGTGATTTCCCTGCTTTGAGCCTCAGTTTCCCTCCCAGACACTGAGGGATTTCATCTGCTACAAGAACAATGTGATCATGGATGTGGTCACTTATATAAACCCTGTGTGACCGATAATCTTACTGTTATTGTTGCTCATGGGGAACAAGAAGAATGACTGTGTGCTCATCCACCTTACAGTTATGCACAGCCAGCACGTATTGACTGTGCCAGACACCACTCAAGGGACTGTGCGTGGACGTCACTGCCATCATGCTCACATCAGCCTCAGAAGGCACACGCAAGCCATAGCCAGCAGGTGGCAGAGGCAGGATTTGAACCCAGACCATCTGTGCAGGCTGCCCTCTTAACCAGAGCCTGTACCCCCCTGCTGCCAGTGCTGCCCCTCAGCCATACCTAGCACCTGCTGTCTGCCAGGCCCCATGCTGGCTCCGTCCCTGAGCTGCTTCCAGTACAGCAGGAGGGCAAGACCAGCCAGGCAAAGCTCAGTGTTCTGGATCCCCCAGGATCCGATGTGCTAAGTTCTTCTGCAGGTGGCGTGGCAGATGCCTGAGAAGGGAACAGATGTGAGGCCAGAGGTTAAGCACTCAGGGCTGATGACTGATGGATGACACAGCTTTACAGACTGAAGTGGTGTGTTTGGGGAGAGCCTGTCGGGCCCTGTGGCATCCTCGATCCTGCTGCTCTTCGCAATCCTGTGGTTCCTTCATTCCCATCTGCTGTTTGCTGACATGGTCAGCGTCTCTAGTTCACACACTCGGTCACCCACCTGTGTCCGTCTTTGGTGTGGAGGCTGGACAGGCAGGGACATGGCCCCAGGGCAGAGGCAAGGGCAGGGGACTGAGTCACAGAGGGTTAGCAGAGTGCAGAACAGAGGAGAGAGGGTGAGGGATGAGCTTCAGAGGGAGACACCGAATTTCCATTGTCTGCTTGCAGGACGCTCCCTTGAGTAGGGACCAACTCTCTTCTGCACAGGAGACCCCCCAACCCCTGGGAGCTTATCCACCAGGCCTGTCCTGAGCAGACCCAAGGTAATGTTATGGACAGTGAGGACTTGAGAAGCATGAGGTCAGCGTGGCTGAGGTAGACGGAGCAGGACTGATCAGGATTCTAAGCCTTCCCAGCTGTCAGCCCCCCAAATTGATTCAAGATAGCAGGCTAAGGAGAGTGGTGAGCGGCTCAAACGTGGGCAGCTCCTTGTCAAGCTCTCTCCACAAATACCGCTTCACGCGCCTTCCCCAAGCTGGGGAGGGAGGCAGTGGCTGGATGGACAGGTGGTGCTAGCCCCGGGAACACAGTCCCAGAGGCAGGGAGCAGTAAGGACAGTGGCCGAGAGCTGGAGGGTGCGTGGAAGCTCTCACCCAGAGCCCCATGGTCTCACAGCAGCCAGCAGTGACACCTACACCAGAGCTGAGGCCTCAGTCAGACATCTGGAACCTGAGCTGGAGCCGCTTCTAGCCCTGGCCTCAAGTGAACTTTCTCTCCCCACTGCTTGGAAGATGGCCCTGATGAGCCACCTACTCTGTGACTTTGGACAAGTCGTTCAACTTGTTAATAATTTAGTTTCCTCATCTTAAATGGAATATATTGTCTTCCCCACTGACATTTGTCGAGATGGTTAAACTAGATAATGTGGAAAGACAGTTTGCCATGTAGTATGTTTTTAATTAATGGTAGCTATTATGATAGTAGAATCGCCTGATGTAACATAACGTAGGGTGCTTACAGCTCGAACTCCAAGCCAGGGGTTGCAAACTGTTTGGCCTCATAGGCACAGGGGTGCTTTTTGGTTGTTGTTTTTCTTGAGACAGAGTCGCCCAGGCTGAAGTGCAGTGGCACCATCTTGGCTAGCCCCCAAGTCACACAGTCCATGAGTGCAGCCCCAGGCTAGCCCCCAGGTCACACAGAGCCCTCCCAGGGCATCTGCTGGATGCACTGATTTCAGAGAAAATGATCAGCTGCTATTAAAATAAACATGGCCAGGCTGAAGAAGGGGTGCATAGCTGGCACCCCCAGAGAGATGAGCCACGGAGGAGCCAGAGGGAGGCCAAGGAGCCCTGGGCTCCATTCTGGGTGTGGTGGCCTGGAATGCAGGGGTCGGGTGTATTCATCTTTTTTTATTTTTTCAGATGAAATAGGGAACATAAAAACCTACAGCTCTTGCTTCAGTCCCAGAGTAGGGGTTTACTTCCTACTCTGATTAGGGTTTCCTGGTGAAGGCATTTGGGGAGTGCTGGGCTCAGTAACTCCCAAAGCCTCAGTTGGGCCCCTGGAGCAACATTGGACTTGACCTAGTGTCCTCCATTGATTTATTAGCCTGCCTATCTTAACAAGGGTAAGACCCTAGGGGGTAAAAGGTGCCAAAAGGTAGCATCACCCTGCAGATATCTTCTGAAGGTTTAGAATCTGAGACTAGAATGTGGCTGACTCCTCTCCTCAGTTGGGACCCTTGTTCAGTGTACAGTCCATACAGCCATCTGTGGCAGCCCTTCTCAGAGGTCTCCCAGGCTAGCCTGCCACCCAGCTAGTGCAGTCATCCCTCTCTGGAAGCCTTCACAGTGGACTCCCGGCTGTGCCTGCATGTCTCTGGGGGAGGTGGTTACTCTGTAAGGTGGTTACTCTGTAAGGGCAGTCCCTTGCCAGCAGCAACACTGCCCGTTAGAAGGCACGGTGGTGCCCTGGGCTGCTGTCTGCTTCTCTCAAGCCTCTCTCCATTCCTGGGTCTCTGTCTGCTTCCAGGACCACACAGAACAAGCCCCTTCTTTTCCTGAACAGCGCCACAGAAATTTGAGACAACCTGCCCTATATATGCCCCCATCTCAACACACACGTGCGCACGCACACACATGAACACACACACACACAGTCTGAGCACCCCATGCCTCTGACAGCCCCTTGCCAGTCCACCTCTGCTATCAGGGTGAGTCCCAGCTCTAGACACAGCCCTTTATCCAGGGCCTGCAGGGCCTGAACTTAGCAGAGTGGAGCCAGCACCTCCCTCATTGGGACCCCTAACCTTCCAGTGATACAACTGTGCTCATATTCCCTCTTGTCTTTCTGTCTCCATCATCAGGCACACACAGCTCCTGGGCCATCACAGCCATCTCTAAGGAGTGGCCCGAGTCCAGTGACCCTTGTTTGATTCCCTGCAGGTGTGTATCCTGGCTCCATCACCCCCCACAATGGACTGGCAACAGGCCTCCTGCCCCCAGCCCACGATGTGTCTTCCAGGCACCACCCGCTGGATGCCACCACCAGTTCCCACCACCATCTGTCCCCTCTGCCCATGGCTGAGAGCACCCGGGATGGGTATGTACACCAGGCCAGTCCTCCTCCAGGGACAGCAAGAGGGAACTGGGGGGAGGGAGGGAGGGCAGGTGTCCCGCACTATCTGTCTGCTTGTTACTGATCATGAAAATGGCCAGCCTTCAGGGAACACTGACTGCATACTTCGTTCTGAACACTCTGCGCATGTTTCCACTGCGGACTGCAGTAACCCTGAGTAGACAGTACTGGCATCTGAAGGCCTTGCTTCAAGCAGCCCCTCCTCCCCACTGGGGGACCCTGGGAAAACTCTGTGGCCCCACCCAACGACCCCTGCATTCTGGACTGCCAAACCCAGAATGGAACCCAGGCCTCCCAGGCCTCACTCTGGCATCTCCTTGGCTCATCTGTGCATTTGGGAGCAGACTGCCCACTGCTCACACTCCACAGACGCTGGTGTGGGCCCCAGCCCATCTCCAGCCACTGCAGCTATGACTGTTGCCTGGGCTTCGGGGCTGTCTGGGAGCCTTTACTTCAGGATCACTGTGGAAAGGGGTGGGCTCTTCCCGTGCTGTATGTAGTTCTCATTGTGGCCACTTAATTGACTGGAAATGGTGAATGTGTTAATTGCTGGACCATGATCTGCTGAAATCTGTTTTTCTTGCAAATGGGCAGAGGGAGGCCTCACAGCCCTGTCCTCCTCCCCTCCCTGCTATTTTTTGCTAATCACCTTGCCCCTTCTCCTCCTGTCCCCTTCCCCACACCCAGCCTGGCCCCAGCACCTTCCTCCTTCCCTGCCCTTCCTCTGCCAGGTAGCAGTCTTGGTCTTTGCCTGCCTGTGCCTGGGGCCAGTCTGGCTTCATCACCACATTTGTGGCCCATTGTGGCCCACCGCTCCCATTATTACTGGGCTCCTCCTGCCATTCATTCACCCATTCATTCAGTGTTCAGTTACGGAGCCCCTGTAGGCAGGCCCTGGGCCTGGTGCTGGGGCTGCTGATGACTCTGGCCCTGGAGATGCTTACTGTGAGAGGGAGACCTACCACATAGGGGCCAGTGCTACTCACAAGCAGAAGGGCTGTGGAGCCCAGAGGAAAGCCCAGTAGCATGTGGCTGCTGGGAGGATGTCAGAGAAGGCTTCCTAGAGGAGGTGAGGCTGGAGTTGGATGGGCGGAGAGGCTAGGAGGAAGGAGTAGCAAGAGCAAAGGTAGGCATGGTGACAGCTTGGTGTGATTTGGGGAACCATCATGTGGGGGGATGAACTTGGGAGAGAGGCTGCCAGGTCTGGAGCCCAAGGCCTGGGATGGGACTCAGCCTGAGGCGTGTTGAGCAGTGATGTGGTCAGGTTTGGGATGAGGACACAGGGTGGCATTGCAGGGGCAGAGTGGACTGTGGGGCACAGTTCAGGCTGCGGAGGGGGGGACACCAGAAGGCAGTGGTGACACAGAGGCAGCAGGAGTGGGAAACCTGGGCTGGGCAGGGAGAGGAGGGGGTGTCAGGGGCAAGCTGGGGTGCACAGGGGCTGCTGACGGGCAGGGGAAGATTGTAGCTGTGAGTGTGAGTGTGAGCAGAGAGTCATGAAGAGGCAGTCTGAGGGGATGTTAGAGGAGGACCCAGAAAACCAGGCCCAGCTCGAGCTCAGCTGATGCTTCTGTGAAAGGCTTCAGAAGGCCCTGCCTGAGGAAGGGGGTAAGAGCTGTACACATGCCTGACACTGTGTGTCCCACCTGGCACAGGCGACACTATGATGGCCCCTGCCCCCACCCATACCCACTCAGGCCACCTGCTCACCCACCAGCCAGCTGAAAAACATCTTCAACCAAAGGAAAAGAAACCACGGAGTCCATTCACTCCTCGGCTGTGCACTCTGCTCTGCTTCATTCGTCACCTGCCTGCCGCCTGCATAAGTGCCCATCAAGAATTCTGCAGTGAGAGGCAGAGTGATGATGACAAGACAGGACCCCCGCCTGCCCGCCCCTGCCTTTGGGTGGGAGCCCCAGGACCAGCTGCAGGAGAGAAGCACCCTCGTGCCTGACACCAGGCCCCGGCCCAGCGTAAATGGGTTTCTTTTTCATCCCGAGAAGAGAGTGGGGAAAGGGACTTCAGCCTCCCCTTCCTGCCAAAGTCAACAAGGAGCAGCCACTCATGACTCCCCAGTGGTTTGCTGGGACGTTTAAATAACTTGACAGAATTATCTGATTCACTTAAAAATATGCTAAGAGGGCCTGACTTCATGACCAAATTTATTTACCCTGGCTCAGAGAAGATGCCAAATAGGGTATTTTTTTTCCCAGCCTTGTGCGAGGTATGAAGCCTTTGGTCTGCCAGGCCAGTGAGGTTTTATATTAATTTTTATAGGTTCCAGTTGAAGCAAAAATATTTGATTTAGGAATCATTTGCATGACTCAGAGGAGGAGCTCCAGATGATCTTTCTTGCCTTTTAAAGAGTTCAGGTAGAGCTGCATACCCTCGGCCTCATGTCTGCTGTGGGGAGAGTTGTGTTCTGTTTAATTTCACTGGCTGTGAAGGTGGCAGATGTGAACTTACAGTGGAGCGAGACAGGAAAAGCAAACTTGAAAATGCATGTTTTCTCCTTCACGTCTGGTTCACCTTAATCCTGCAATGCCGTTAATCTCGGGGGTTTGCAGCTGAGAGATTCAGAAACTCATTTATTAGTGTCATCGGTTGTTAGCTGAGTGGCAGGCCCAGCACTGGGCACCAGGTGACCGAGAAGGGCCAAGACCTGGCCCTTCCTACGGGGGCACCAGGAAACCAGGGGAGAGCTGGGCTGTGGGTTCCCAGATGAGATAGGGATAAGGCAGCCACCACCCAGGAAGGCGAAGCCACTCCCTGGCCAGGCCCTGGCCCAGCTTCAGCCAGGAGAACTGGCCATGAGGACACATGGCTTGTGCACAACTCTACCCAGTTTCCAGTGCATAGAGGAAGACACTGTCCCATTTGGTCATCCTTAAGACAGGCCTAAAAATGATGATGATGATAACGATAATTTATTCCTGGAGGTATGATGAGGATTTGGCTCATGAACTTAAAACGGTGACATGGACCCTCAATGTGTAGTAGCTAGGCCAGGGACCCAGCACCAAGGCCCTGCTTCCCCTGTCCTCAAGCAAGCCCACAGTGACAGAGGCCCAGACCTGGGGATGATGACAGCAGACTGGAGGGGCAGTGGAGGGGCTGCCAAGGTGGGAGGGAGCAGAGAGGAACCTGGTGCAGCCGCAGACGTGGAGACTCCGGCCTGTCTCCAAATCTGCTTTCTCCATTTCCAGATAGCCCTGCTTCCTTCAGAGAGGCACCGATCTGTTCACACTTGGTGTCTCAGAGGGTGGGCAAGGGTAATGAGGTCACCTGGAGCTGTGACACGGAATTCACTGTATATTTTAATGTGGATGGTCCAACAACCCACAAATCCAGACAATAAGTGTGGACTCGGAGCTCCCACTGTCTCCCTCTTTCTGCCATGCACATAAGTGCTTTACAGGCTGGGAGCCTTTAGCCTTGCCCCCGGAGTCCCCAAGCCATTGATCTCAAAGTCATTTTAGTCCCTGTGAAGTGGGCTTAGGGGCTCAGGAAGATAGCCTGAGAAGGGAACCCGGCCTGCAGGATTCTACGGTCCAGGTAGATGGCCCCGGGCTGGGCCGGGCTCAGGGTGCCTGTGCAGCTGTCAGCTGCTGCAGTCTTGCTTCTGAACATGAGCTTCCAGAGTGCATAGTCTTGAGCCTGCATGCCCCTCAGGCTCTGTATGAAGGCAGCTGGGGAGCCCACAATCGCACGTGGTATGCAAGAGGAGGACAGATGGCCAGGGCTGGAAACAGGAGAAGGTTCCTCAGAATACACTGTGTAGAAAAAAATGCCAACTTGGCTGTGGGACTGAATTGGTAGTTTTTCTTCCCTTCATCTTTGTAATGATGATGCTGATGGATGGAGTGGCTGAGAATGCATCAGACATCACACTCTACATTGCTTTCATGTCACCTCGCCGTAGCCCCTGAGGTCGGTGCTGTGTGGCTGGGAGCAACTTCGGCAAACCTCTCTGACCTTGGTTTTCTGGTCTGCGAAAAGGACACGAGAACATCTGTCTCCCAGGCCTAGGGCAAGTCAGGGCTCAATGCTTGGGGACTGTGAGTGCCATGGGCCGCTCCAGGGCTCCTCCTCCAGGTTGCCAGAGTGGTGAGCATGAGGCAGAGAGCCGGGCACCCAGCAGGTAATGAGGCTGCAGCATGCCAGGTGGTGAGCCAGCAGCCCTTCCAGGAAACCAGGGCTCAGAGACATCGAGTAGCTTGCCCCAAACACCTGGACAATGAGAGCAGTTAGGGGTTTGAACACAGTTCTCTCATCTGGAAAGGTGGCACCACTTACCTCTGTTCCTTGCTGACTATCCTAAACTCCGGACTCCAAAGCTTCCAGGATTTGGAGTCAAGAAAGTTTGGATTGAACCTGACCAGACATAAAAGCTCCTCTTCTAACTGTTGTAAGTTGGAGCAGGTCAGCTGGGGAGTGGGCTCCCATTGATGGAGAGGAGCAAGCCATGGCAGCTGGGCCTCTGGCCCTGCCCTCCACACCCCTGCCTGCTGACAGGTTCTCTGTTCTCTCCAGGTTGGGGCCCGGACTCATCTCACCCATAGTCAGCCCCCTGAAGGGGCTTGGGCCACCACCGCTGCCCCCATCCTCCCACAGCCATTCTCCAGGAGGCCAGCCCTTCACGCTCCCGAGCAAGCCTGCCTACCCACCCTTCCAAAGCCCTCCACCCCCGCCTGTGCCCAGTCCGCAAGGTAAGCTCTGGCCAGGGGCCCACTCCATATCACCCCTGCCATTCCCGCTCAGGAACCTCAGAGGAATGAGGAGACAGTGGCCTAGTAGGGGAGGCAGGGGGTCAGAGAATGACCGTCTGGGCACTGGGGATGAGAGAAGCTGGGACACAAGGGACATAAGAGGCCCAGCTGGGGCATGGCCTGGAGGAAGCTGGTCCTGACAGTGAGGAAGAATGAGAGGCCATTGAGCACCGGAGCGTGGAGGGAGCAGGCATTAGCCACGTCAGCCACGGGTGACCCAGGAACAGCCATGTGAGATCATCTCAGCCACGCCTGGCCTGTCCTCCCTCCCTGCAGAGTGGAGCTGAGAACGGGGCCCTGGCCTCCTGCACCTTCTCTGCCCTGGCCCTCCTCTCTCACTCATACCCACGATGCCTGGACAGGACCACACAGGAGGCGCAGCATGCAGTGAGGACAGTCCCCCTCCCTGCCCTGGGTACTTCTTCTTTGTGAATGCGGCCCCTGCCACCCTGTCTGCAGGTTACCAGGGCAGTTTCCACTCCATCCAGAGCTGCTTCCCCTATGGTGACTGCTACCGGACAGCGGAGCCAGCAGCTGGCAGGGACGGACTGGTCGGGGAGACCCACGGTTTCAACGCCCTGCGGCCCAACGGCTACCAAGGCCTCAGCCCGCCCTTGCCTGCCCCAGGTGAGCCCTGCCTGTGTGGCTCCCGGTCTAGGGCACCTGCCGAGCTCAGCCCGGTGCTGGGTGCTATATGCACGGGGTCCTGTAGCCTTTGGATGCCTATGTGACAGGGCCATCCCCACTTTACAGAGGGGGAAGTGGAGGCTCAGAGTCCCAGGAGCCCGCAGCACTGTCTGTACCTGCCTGACTATAATGTCTGGCTTTTCCCACAGCTTCGAGAGCCTTCTGTGTCTGAATGCCGACAGGTTTCTGAAAAATCAGACTGGGAGCTCATGGTTTAATTACTGCTTCGCTTTATTTATTAAGTACCTATTGTGTGCCAGGCATAGCTGCAGACCCTGGGGATGTATCGGGGAATGTACAAATCCTGCTCTCCCTTTGGCAGCAGAGAAGACTAGGCGGGGACAGAGCCTGGAGGTTGTGCTGTCCCTTCTCCGCATCGGTAACTGGTGCTGCCCTGCAGGGCCCTGGGCCTCCCCAGCTCTGCCCCTGGCTTGGCTAGAGAAGCCCAGGGAGAGGGGACAGCCCATAGCCCAGGTGGAACCAGGCTCAGACCAGCAGGGCAGGCCTAGTCAGAGCAGGGGGCATCAGAATGGAGGGGCTAGGCCCTCCCTGAATTCTGGAGCCAAGACCACCCTCAAAACAGCCTGAGGCTCAGGTCTAGCCAGAGGTTTTCAGGGCTCCAACAAAGAGGAACCTGAGACCCATCCCAGAGGCCCTTTGGTCAGCTTTGAGTGTGTGCAGCGGGACGGTGGAGGGACAAGGATATAGGGACAAGCACTGAGGTCTCAGCTGGGCACACACCACCCTGTGGGTCCACATCCACACACCTACAAAGGCTGGTCCCTGCAGACAGGCTCGATGCCCATGCCAGGTGTCTGTGTGTGCCCGTGCTCGCAGGGTTGGCACAGGTGGCTCTGGCAGCATATGCCCCATGAGTGTGAGGAGCTGGCAGGGCATACACTGGTGTCTGCACACATGTTACCCCATGTTTGTGCGGATGTCTGTGCACCCCGTCTGTGTGCACATTGTGTCACGCACCTATGACTTGGCTGATTCCACAGACAGTGTGTGCCTGTGTATGATGCAGGCTGTTTCAGATGAGCATGCTTGTGTGCACTTGTGCACCTGTGTTCAAGGACCACAGCCACAGCCCTGTGAGTACACGTGTGCCATGTCCACGCGTGATAGATGTGTGTGCATGGCCCCCTGTATGGCATGTGCCCACATGGGAGATGAGTGCTCTGTGTCTGTGCACGCCTGAATTGAGGTGCCCAGCACTGCGGGCTCCCCATCCTGTCCTCCCACCCCGATCCAGCCCAAATGGGATTTCTCAGCTGTGCAGCAAGGCTTGGAATGAATAGCCTTGACGGAGTGGCAGGCAACTTCCATGCCCCACCCCACCCCTGCACTGGCCAGGGGAGGTTCTTTTGGCCTCCCTTCTCCCCAGCACCCACTCCAGGCCCACTAGCTGCCTTCTGCCCACACTTCCCTGGTCAAGCAAAAATCACACACAGAGCTGACACGCCAGCTGACAAGCTCGAGGAGCTGCAGGGCCTAAGAACAGTTCGGCCCAACGCCACTGCGTAGACAGGCTCACCTGTCTCAGGCCACACACATGAATGACAGCAGTTCATTGACAGGCCTTTAGGGCAGGGGCAGGAGAGGATGACCCCTCCCAGCCTCTCCCAAGTCAAGGGCCTCTGAACGGTGGCCTCACCATGGAAACAGCATGTCCAGTGGAACAGGGAGCTATCTTTGGAGCCAGATTGACCTGGGTTCAACCCCAGCTCCCCTTACACTGTGACCTTAGGCAAGCATCTTGGCCTCTCTGTGCCTGCCTTCTCAGCTATAGAATAGGAGAGTGAATCCCACTGCATGGGAGTGTTGCGGACCGGAAGCCAGACAAGCTGAAATAAGCACATACTGAGTGCCCAGTGAACGCTGCTGCTCTCCTTTGGGTTTCTTGAGTCCTTTTGAGGGATGCAGCTGAAAGGGTGGGGGCGAGCTGGTCCTTCTGCCAGGAGGGGACCAGCCCCTGAGGGCAAGGGCTGCGCTGCTCCTACCCACCCCCACATTCTGCCCCACAGTCAGCCCCGTGCCTGTCTCCCAGCTGTCCTGGGCCCCCTGGGTGTGCCAGGCCCTCTCCCCACCCCAGCCCTCTCCCCACCCCACCGCTCAGCTCCCACATTCGGGAGCTGGGCCCCCTGGGTGTGCCAGGCCCTGTCCCCAGCTCCCAAGTCCTCTCCCCACCCCAGCGGTCAGCTCCCACATTTGGAAAAATAGGGGGCTCCAAGCAGGCCCCGGGGATGGAACTCGGTGAGGGGGGACCCTGGGCAGGTGGGGTGGGGCCTGGGAACTGGGAAGGATGAGCAGGCACAGCCCCTGCTGCCTCCGGCGCTGACCGTTTCCCACCCACTGTCAGGCTATGAGGCCCTGGCCGAGGCCTCGTGCGCCACAGCGCTGCTGCAGCAGTCATCTGAAGACGTGGTGTCCAGCGGCCCCGAGGACTGCGGCTTCTTCCCCAATGGAGCCTTTGACCACTGCCTGGGCCACATTCCCTCCATCTACACGGACACCTGAAGGAGCCCCATGTGCACCTGCCTGCCCAGCACTGCAGATGTCACCTCACCCACCTGCTGTCACTCCCACCCTCCATATACCCCGCGGGAGCTCCAGGCCACAGCCAGAATATCTGGGCCATGACCCAGGGAGCCAGTTGGCCATGCCACCCAGCGCTGCCAGGGAGCTGCCGTCTGAGCCCGAGCTGGGCGCACAGAGGTGCCCTTCAGGACTCACGGCCCTGTAACATTCCCTCGATCGTGTCTTCCTGTTCCTCTCCCCGGTGGTTTTGAAATCACAGACCTCGTGTATATAAAATATGCAGAACTTGTCTTCCATTCCCCTGCCAGTTTTATATTTTTGGTTTTACAAGAAAAACATTAAAAACTGGAAAGGAGCTGTGAGGGCCTGGTTCTGCTTTGTGATTCAGCCCAGAGGCGGGGACGAGGAGAGCCTCCGAGGAGGGTGACGGAGCCGGGGTTCAGAGCTAGGGAAGCTGTGTGAAACCAGCTCGGGCCCTGGGTTCTCACCGCAGGGATGGGAACCACTGGCACGTGGCCTCCACCGCACACTGCATCCCTTTCAGACGCCAGCACGAGTCCCAGGACTATGCAGAGAGGTAGGCCTTTCCCCATGGGCAGGTGGACTAACCGAGGCTGGGAGGTGCAGCGATGGGCTCCAGATCCCAGATCCCACAGTCTGACCACAGTCCAGCCCAGCTCCATCTGATCCAGGCCCCTGCCTGCTACAGAGACTCCTCAGCGGGTGGGAGAACCAGCTTCGAGTCTGGTGTCTGGGCTTCTGTAAACAGAGAAGTCCTGGGTGGGCAGGGCAAGCCTACCAGGGATGGAGCCCAAACAGCCTCAGAAAGCCAGGAGTAAAGGCCAGTTCCTGCAGCCAGGCTGGAAGCCGAGAGCAGCCTTTGTCCCTGAGCCCCTTGCCGACCCTGGAAGACCGAGGCTCGCATGGGTCTGTCCCCATCCCCTATATGTCTCTCTCTTCAGCATCCAGCATGAGGAACAGGCCCACACTCCAGGCCTGGACAGGTGACCTGGACAGTGGCCACCATCTCACATGTCACACTGATCACCTGTTAAAAAGATCCAGGAAAACTCCTGCCTCATCCCTGCTGGAGTGGAACCATGCAAGGGTGGCCATGTTTACCACCCTCCCTGGATCCCAGAAATGGCCTAGAGAGGGTTTTCTTTTTCCCTCTGTAGGTGAGGAGGGGCAGCTGGCACTCACACCCCCATCAAAGGGCCTCCTCTTTATACACTGACTTAGCAAAGCAAGATGAAAGGCCCAGTAGCCCCCTTCTTTGTAGAGAGGGAGACTGAGGGTCAGAGTGAACACCCAGCCACTCGGTGGTGGAGCCATGATGAGCACCTGGTCCTCCCCATCACCCACAGTGCCATGCTGGTCCTCCCCATCACCCACGGTGCCATGCTGGTCCTCCCCATCACCCACGGTGCCATGCTGGTCCTCCCCATCACCCACGGTGCCATGCTGGTCCTCCCTATTCACAGTCCCATGCTGGCCTTTGGTGCTTCCCGGTGATCTGCCCTCTGCCTCCTTCCAGGAGCCTGCCAAGAATGTGACTGCACCCCCGTCCTACTTGAGCCCTCCACATCTGCGCTTTGCCTGCTGTGTGTCCAGGGCTGACCCGTGAGGGGCTGCATTTGGGGCCACTGCCCTCTGGCTCCAGGCTGGCTCCAGCCAGTGAGGAGCCTAGCATGAGAGGGAGGTGGGAGGGGTCCCTGGGTGGCTGTGTCCTCACGGAAGATCTCAGTCCAGTCCAGTGGGCCTCTTCCACACAGCCCACTCCAGGCTAGAAGCAGCTCCCCTCCTTCCTTGCTCAGGTGTGGGGCAGGGCTGGGGAATCACTTGACACACCTCGGTGTGGTCCCCTCAGGAAACTCTCCTGACGGCTCCAAGCTGAAGAGGGACATCTTCCCTGCCAGACCCCGCTGCTTATTCCCATCATACAGGCACAGAAACTGAAGGACAGTGCACCGGGCATGGTGGCTCATGCCTGTAATGGCTCACTCCCAGCACTTTGAGAGACCGAGGCGGGCAGATCACCTGAGGTCAGTAGTTCGAGACCAGCCTGGCCAACATGGTGAAACCCCATCTCTACTAAAAATACAAAAAATAGCCAGGCATGGTGGTGCACACCTGTAATCCCAGCTATTCTGGTGGCTGAGGCAGGAGAATCACATGAACTCGGGGTGGAAGCTACAGTGAGCCAAGATTGCACCACTGCACCCCAGCCTGGGTGACAGATTGGGAATCTGTCTCAAAAAAAAAAAGGAAAAAGAAAAAGAACTGAAGGACAGTGAAGTTGAAGTTAAGGGACTTGCCCATGTGACACAGCCTGTGAGTGGTAGGTAGGGTGGGTTCAAACCTGGGCATCGGGCTCCAGAGCCTCCACCCTCACCCACAGCACTGTCCTGCCCTTTGCAGGCTGGGACGGCCGCTCCCACTGCCTCTCAGCCTCTGCCTCCTAGAGTGGCCCAGTCCAAGCCCACAGCACAGAGGGACTGACCCATTGTCACAGGGCACGTTGGGCTGCTGCCTGCCACCCAGGGTCTCCTCACCCCTCATCCCCTCCCCCACTGATTTTATGGAACTAATTAGGCCAAGGCAAAACCCCTTGAACGGGGATGCTGAGGAATCAATACTGCATGTCACTGTGAGCACTTAATCCACTCCAGATAAGCAGCGTGAGGCTGCACCATGAGGACATATTTCTATTAATAATGAAAGGGGCTGAGCCGCAACCCGGGAACACACAGGGAGCTGGCAGTTGGATCCCATTTAATTTCAGAGAGCAGAGGGAGGGAGGAAAGGAGACAAAGGCAGAGAAACAAAGAGGCTGAGAAGGAGAGCAGGCCGGAGGAGAAGGCGCGGAGGGGCTTGGGGTGGGTCCCACCTCTGCAGTGATGGGATCTGGAAATTCCATTCCTCTTTTTCTGCCTGGAACTCCACTGAGCCCTGCTCCTCCTGGCACACTCAGGATGCCCAGCCCTAACACCAGCAGGGTCTCCCTCTAACTGAAGGCAAGCACCCCATAAGACCGGTCCCCAGGCAGGACCTCGGGGGCTGGACCTGAGCTCCCTCCCCAGTGCCATCTTCAGCCCTTATTTTTAAAACAGCAAGACCAAAGCCCCTCCTGAGCCTGACCTGCCGCCCGCAGTGCATGGGAGCCTGGCCACCACCACCGCCACTGCAGCGGCTAGGTGATTACCCCCAGACCCACCATTGGCAAGGAGCTGTGACTCACTGTCGTCACACAGGGAGGGCTAGTGGGGTCAGGTGGAGGGCTGAGGTTTCTCACCCGGCCTAGGGAGCGCCTTGTGGGAGACACAGCCTGGGACCCCACAGGGTCTATAGAGCAAAGGGGCTGAGTCTGCCCAGGGGCCCCCGAGTCCAACCCAGGGCATAGGGTCAGGACCCAGGACAGACAGCAGACCATGGCGTCCTTCCAGCCCAGCCACTCCAGGCCAACTCCACTCCTGCCCAGTCCTGGCCTCTGTCAAGTTCATGCTAGATTAGTCCAGCAACCGCACCCTGAAGGCTTCATCTCTCAGTCTCCATGAGGGACCAGGGCCATCTCTCTTTCTGTCCCTCCCTCCCACCGGTCCCTCTCCTCCCTTTCTCCCTGCCCCACACTCCTCTCCTCTCTCCCTGCCCCTCCCCACTCTCCTCTCTCTGTCCCTCCCCTTCTCCTCTCTCCTTGCCCTTCTCCTCTTCTCTCCCTGCCCCTCCCCCTCTCTCTGTCCCTCCCCCCTCCTTGCCTCTCCTCTCTCCTTGCCCCTCCCTGCCTCTTCTCTCCCTGCCCCTCCCCTCTCTCTCCCTGCCCCTCCCCTCCTCTCTCTCTGTCCCTCCCCCTCTCCTTGCCCCTCCCTGTCTCTTCTCTCCCTGCCCCTCCCCACACGTCTATCTGTCTCTCCCACCCTCTCCTCTCTCCCAGTTCACCCCCCACCTCCCTGTCCATCCCCCTTCTCCTCTCCCTGTCCCCCTCATCCCTCTCTTCCTGTCCCTCCCTGTTCCTCATTCCCTGTCCCTCCCCTGCCTCCCAGTACCTTCCCTCTCCTCCCTCCCTGTCCCTCTCTCTTCTGTCTCCCTCTGTCCTCTCTGCCTTCCTTCCCTGACCCCCATCCCTCCCCACTCCTCTCTGACTCTTCACCTCCATCCCCCTCTGTCTCAACATTTCCCCACCCAAGCCCCTTTGTCCCTCCCACCCCCCCACACCTCACCTTGTCCCGCCTCCACCCCAGTGGGTTCATCTGTTGTCCCTTCTGTCTCTGCTCACTCTTTCTCCTGCTTGGGCTATGTCTGTGAGTGTCCTCTTTAAACTGGCAGGTGCCCTCTGGGTCAGAGCCTTTCCTGCCCTCTTCCTGCTCTTCTTCCTTCTGCTGCTGCCTCCTCACTCTCCCCTTCTTCTTTGAGGCCCAGGGAGGGGTGGTGGCCTGGCCCAGGCATCACAGCACTCCGGGTGGCTTGGCTGGGCAGAGGGAAAGGTGGAAAAGGAGAGTCCTAGAACCCGCCTGGTGGGAGCGGCCTTGGGGCCCCATCCCTTTCTCTCCCTCTCCCCCTCCCTTACCCCTCCACATCCTGGCTCCCGCCTGCCAGGGTCTCGGGTAGATATTGGGCATTAGGTTCCCTCCTACCCTGTGTGCCCAGTCCAGGTCTACTCCACGCTGGGCACAGGGATTCGCCATCCCTGGTCCTGTCCTCTAGGGACTCCCCTTGCTCCTGCTGGCCCTTGGAGACCCCATGAGCTATCAGGGGACCCAGACCATTAGGGCTGAGAGGGCCCACCGAGACCACCAGCCCCACCCCCCTCACTGCATAGTACGGAAGCCCAGGCCCAAGAGACTGTTTCTGCCCCTACTTCCAGCCTCTCCCCATGCCCCCTAATCCAGGGAGTGGCCAGGGGAGTGACACCGCAGCTTTGTACCTAGGGAGGCCCCTCTGCTGAGCAGTGACTGCGGTTCTGAGGTCCCTGCTGGAACGTCCCTCCCAGGAGGGCAGGGCGTGAGCTGTCCTCTTCACTGCTTACCGCCCAGCCCCTGGAGCAGCACTCGGCACACGGCCGGTACACAGCACCTGTTTCTTATCCCCACCAGCAGAACCAAAGAGACAAGGACCTGGCCCTGTAGCCCCTCACCCAGAGCAGGGCCGCAGCAAACACCTGTGAACGAGGTTGGAGGAGGACACAGGTGTGGAGGGGCATGGGACCTGTTGGAGGTTCAGAACAGGCAGCGGCCAGTGCAGGCAGCAGAGAGCCCGGGCCTTGGGCCCTGCTTGCACCCTGCCCCCCATCCCTTCAGCCCACCTGAAAACAACGGCGGGCTCCTAGCTGGTGTGTGCAGCCTGCTGAGGACCTTCTGC